CTCGTAGGCCTAAGCCTAGTTGATTTGATTTCATTTCCTCCTAACAGACTTTCTTTTGCGAAGCTTTTAAGTTTGTTATTTCCTATTCTTACTATTGAAAAGTGCCAAATTCAACATTGAAATTGTTTGCATTATCTTTCATTTATTTCTTTTAGCTTAAGGTATCCTACATTTATTGTTATCACCTTAACCTTTTTCATCTCTGTTCACTCATTCCATCATTCTGCTATTTCAAGGGTTAAGTGAAAATTTTCATTATTTGAGTGCTTCTCTCATCGAATGATAAATACTTCTTAGTAAAGTTGTTACAGATATCAAAGTACTTTCACTTTTTTTGTTACTTCTTATGATTTCAAGTTGATTTCAAATCTCTAATTGTAATTTAATGACGATACAGTGAATTACTTTTTTTTTTCGAAACAAAAAACTTGAAAAAACTAGCAACTATTTGAGTGAAATGAAACGAGAAAGTTTATTCCACTTCGTCTCGTATCACCCTTATCATCACTTCAGAACATTTCTCTATGTTCCTTTCATCGGTACAACATTCATTTTAGTTCGTTCTTCAGAAAAACTCTATGCGAAGCAACGAAATTTTTATTTTGTTTGGTATCTTTTGTTTCGTACACTTTTTTCAGATCATTCATCCATTGTTATGAATAAAATGAAAAACTACTTATTACCCCGAGATTTACATCTTAACGTAGTGAACTATGAAGTGGAGTGCTTGGAGTTGCTAATTCCTTATAATTTAATTGTAGTTTATTCCACTTCATTAATTAGTAGTTGTAGCCATAGATGTTATTAAGTTCAGCATTTGGAAATAATTTGATTCCTTTGAACAAATGATTAACATCAAGAGGATCAAATGACACCATTGCATTAAACGAATGAAATTTAGAAAGATATGTCTCAAAAATAAAAGTGGCTGCATTTTTGCATGATTTGGTGTTGATTTATTTTTGTTTTAAATTCGCTTGCTTCCAATATTACTATTCATTTCAAAATCTTGATGTGATAACAGAACTTTACTTATCAAACACAGAACATATTTTTTAAAAAAATGGAATTTTATATCAGCAGTATTAGAATGAGAGGAGGGGAAGATGACGAGAAAAAGAAAGAGGGAAAATTTTTACATATTTTTTTGTAAAAATAACAACTGACGTTAAGACAGTTCAATGTGCAAACAAACAGCTCTGATCGCTGCTACGAAATTTGTGTCTTTCTTGTCTACTAAAGATTCTCAACTTTATGAATATTGGATAATTTAGTTTATCTACACGCTGATACGGGAACTTTTCATATGTAATCAGTTCTTTTCTGAATCACTCTTTGCCAGGCCTTTTCTCATTTTCTTTTTATTTCTATCAAGGAAGATTGTCTGTCTCATAGGAGGATAAAATGTCAACAATGACTGACTTATTTCTATCTACCTCAAATTAAGTCTTTGAGAGTACCTGATTTGTTTATCTATAGATTTGTCCTTACCTTTATCTTTGTTGAGTCATATACTACTTTAATGTCCTACAAAAACTGTTATTCGTTAGTGAAATCATACCTGGTGCTTTTGAAAATGATCGAAAATGTTGCAATTTCTTGAAAATATTTAACTTTCTTTGCAATCTGAAAGTAAATATTACTTGAAGATTGTTCCGAGAGATCAAGACAGTTCTTTATTTCATAAATTCACTCATTGAATTCGAATTTATTTCTGTTTCAATATACTGAAAACAACCAATTTAATCATACTTCAATGCATAATAACTGTTTCTCTCCTCTTCTTTTCCTTCTGCTAAATCCTTCAATTCAACACAAATTTAGTGATTCCAATACTTCAGTATTTTGTTGATTCTCTTTGTTTTGAGTGTTTCAATTGCTTATTTATATTTTTTGATTTCAGTTCACTAATTCGTTGTTACTGCTACATTAAGTAGTATTGTTGCTATCAGACAAATGACTGAGAAATTAAAGTATAAAAAGCGTTTATGGCTGTTGGATTAAAAAATGTGGAACGTGAAAGAAATGTGGACCTTGTAAATTTAGATTTAGCAAATTGAAATGCTTCGGTTGTTAGACTTCATTACTCATGAATATCATTTTCAGAACCAAGGAAAGGATTCAATTGGTAGGGAAAAAAGAGAGAGATAAGGAATTGAAAGGAAACATGATAGTATTTCCGAAATGACGGATGCTGCTTATCTTATAGCTCTTCACTTTTCTAGCTTCGGCAAATGTTCTTGTGCCAATGAACAGAAATTATTCCTTCTCTTAAAATTCAATTAAAATGCGAAAATCCGAAAAAAAAAAACCTAAAGAAAAGAACTTATGGAGGAAAGAATAAAAGAAAGGAGCAGTGTTTAGATGGCGAAGAAGGAAATATTTAATTGTAATATGAATTTTTCTTTTGATTATTTTTTGGAATTCTTGAGTAAAGAAAAAAGAATCTCTGTTTAGTTTGTTATCGTTAAGTTTATTCCAGCTCTTTCGTATATGGAAAAATTTTTGCTAATGAATTTTGGAAGGAAATTTTCAGTTCACACAGATCACCATTTTAAGTTTAGCATTCGACTGGCCTTAATTTCAGTCTTAATTATTCGTCGATTGTGAATCATTTCGATTGTTAGTTGATTTTTTTAGGACTACTATTTAATATTTTGAATATTTTATCTTTTTTTTTCTCTCTTTTTCCCTCACTTGTTTACTTCTTGAAATTGTTAGCGACGAATGCTCGAAGAAATCAAATATTTCCAAAGAAGCTATTTTACTATTAGCTCTTGTTTTTTAATTTATACATAAAGCTATCTATATGTCGATTTTAGTGTACAGATTTGTTTGAAAGAATGATCAGAAAATAAGGATCTTTTTGCTCTGTAACTTCAGTTAATTAGTTTAAATTCTTAACTTGTGAAAATGCATTGTTCTAATTATTTCGATCAAACCGGATTTTAGAAAAGTTTCAATTTTCAGAGTCTTTGCTTTATTCCCCTGCTTTATTCCCCTCTCTCTCTCTCTACTCATTGCTGTGAACAATCTTTGATAGTTTCCATCGAAAATATTCCTTCAGCAAACGCTTTCCATATTTGTTAAAGTGTTAGACATGAAGTTTTTCGTAAAAAGTATTAAAAATTCGCAGATTATTTAATTTGTTTAAATTCTAACTTCTGAAAATACATTATTCTAATTATTTTTGCCGAGGATTCATATGTTTCCTTCAAATAGCGATGAAAGAACAGTGCTGTATTACGATCTACCGTTGAAAAGGAAAAAGCTTTAACACTTCTTCTCTGCACTCGGATTAATTAACACATTGTAATGTAAAGCAACCACTTTTGACTTTTAATTAAATAAGATGTTTAGTGTTATGAAACGTCTGGAAAAATCACTTTAAATACTCAAATTATTATTGAATAATACAGTAAATATTTTTAAACCATCTTTGTAATGAAAATATGCCTCCAAACTAACAATTTTTTTTTTCTTTTGCATTATTTAGATTAGCAGTTCATTTAAAAGCCTTTTTCTGAATTTTCATCACTTCCTGTAGGAGAAAACGAAGTAGCGATAGATAATGCCACTTGCATATTCATTGGCTTTGGATTTGATGAAATTGTTGAAGACATTCCAATTTCAGTCGGTTGAAAATACTTGCAGACGAAGTACATTATGAAGCTTCAATAAAGGACATTGAAGTTGATAAAATCGAAAAATTGACTGGATGTTATCTGGAAAACTTAAAGGGCTCAAATGTTTTGGAAAATTGGGGTCAGAGTAGGGAGCACTTTCCACTGAATTATGAGCAGTTAGTTACTAAATAATACTTAATTTCATTAGCAATAATTTAGGACTGTTGAGATATTTCTTGCTATTATGAGCTGCGTTGAATTAGAAAAGATCTGTCACCAAATTTTCCTCATTAATAAAACAGAAGAAATAATCTTCTCAATAAATTACTGTTGTAAAACTTGGAAGTTTTTCTACTCTAGTATTCAGATATCATTGAATAGAAATCTAATTTCATTTCACTGCGATAATTTGTTTATTGTAATGCGAAATTATGCAGGCTTTTCTGACTTTCTATATATACTGACTGCTGCAACTGTTATAACACGATAAATTCTGAGAAGGAAGGGAAGGTCAATCTATTTTTAAAAACACTGACAAATCTTACTGGCATTCGAGTAGCTTCTGAGATTGTAGCAAATTGAAAGGGAGAACTAATCGATAGCTGTTTTCATTTTTATAGAAATAAAGGTTTTGACGCACATTGTATATCTTCTATTTGAGACTAATCATTTAAAACGATTGCATGAGAAGAATCAGATGTCAGTTATTCGCAACATTTGCGCTCTGATTACTGTTCAGTGACCAATTCGATTAATTGCTTTTGGAAAATAATTCATGAACGTACTGGCAGATGTTCTTGACCGGAAAAAGAAATCATCTTCTTAATGAGCTGTTGTATGATATTGGCAAAAAAATGTTAATAAGTTGTTCACTTATGACAAATCAGAATATTTTGCTTTGTAGAAATAAACTCATTCTTTTGTTTTGAGATTGCATAGTTAAAACTTTGGATTAAATAGAACTGAAGTTCCGGGTGAGTAAAATTTCTTTTGAAGATGGCATTAATAATTAAATATTGCTAACTCTTCAATGTAATTAGTTGTGGACTACTTGACTAGTAAATTGCATGATTAATTTGAAATGATATTTTGGTACTGTTATAAGGTCTTTATTTAATTCTTTATTTAATGGTCAAATCACTATATAACGTAAACTTATACATTGGCTACTTTTATTTGTCTAATTTGCATTTATTTTTTAAGCAAATTTGCAGAAGTTCTTACTATCAAAATTGCTTTGGTATCAGAAGAAATTACCGAATTTGTGATTATTTGTATGAATAAGTCTTCACTCTTCACTGTTTACCTGTTGTTGATACATCCAAAGTTCAATTGTCCTCAGAGATAGGAACCGCTGGATGGCCGTTTTAAGTAATGTATGCGGGGCAACCATGGACTCTGAGCGAAGAAACAGTGCTGCTCAATCATCATTACCAACTTGGGGACGTCATCGAGCGGTAATTCAATTTTTTATATGTATTCAAAAAATTTTCAAAGCTTTCGTAAACAGCTACACTGAAAATTTCGAGCAAAGTCTGCAGCGATGAATGCTAAGCATAACAGAAATCAATCAATATCGAATGACTAAATAATAAGGAGTTGGAGGAAATTAATTAATTCAAAACGAAGATAGTTTAAAATTCAAGAGATTAGAAATTGATCAGTTTAGCATTATTAGCAGCTAATAGTGATTGATTGTAAAACTAGTCCAGGATATTTTGTCAAAGGCATCTGATATGATAATATTAATGTACTAATAATGTATATTGTGTTAATGATATAGAATGATTTCCGATTTGAGATAACGTCTTCGTGCAGTCCTTTATCATTTTCTTGTCTTCAGTGGTCCGTTAAGCACAGTTTATCGTGCTGTACATCGTATAACTTCGAAACTTTATTCAGTAAAAAGCATCGACTTACAAAAATATTCTGCCACTTCAGGATTAACCCGAACAGGTTAGTCTTTTTACTATTCGGCAAGAATTTTTCTAATAGCTGGTCTTTCACGTATTTTACTGATGTTAGTCTCCATCATTCTTCCATTTAATTATTTTAGTTATTACAGCTAGTTATTACTAGCTGGACTGTCAGTTATTATAATCAAATTGGATTAGCAGTCATAAACTATTTAACTTTGCCGATGATGTAGTAAGTAAGAAACGCGGAATGTCAGATAAATATTAAATATTGGCGAATTTCCAGACGTGGATAATGAAATTGAGATTTGTGCTGTGTTGAAACATCCTTTCTTGTGTGAATTAAAAGATGTGATAGCTGGAGAAAAAGCTGTTCATATGGTTTTTGAATTTCTCGATGGTGATGACATATGCTTTGAAATTGTTAAGCGAGCCAGTGCTGGTTTTGTTTATAGTGAAGCTGTTGCCAGGTGAAGTATTTTGCAGAAAAAGGATGGATCGAATATTTTTATTGCCATAAATATTATTTGAAATGTTTAATTCGATCAAATTAAGATGAATAAAGTTTAAAGAATTGCTTTATCATATTAAACATTTAACTAAATTACAATTGAAGCAATTGAAAATGCCGGAAATTTCATAGGTACTTTCAGTGATATTGAGTCTTTACCAGTTCATGTGTTTCTCATAACAGTAGTAAATTTATCACTGCTAATATGTTTTACACAATATAAGAGGTTTATGTTTTGCGCATTTAATCTTTCATAAAAGAATAAATGATTATCCCAGAGATTTGCAGTCATTACATGAGACAATTAATGCAAGCGCTAGAATACATGCATGGCCAAGGGATTATCCATCGCGATATTAGACCGCACAATGTTGTTCTTGCAAGGCAAGGCAATATCTTTTAACTCTTATAAACATTCTTTATAATTAGCGTCTCTTTTATTATACGATCATTTCCGGAGTATATTTCAAGATTTTACAGATAATTAATGCTAATTTGCAGTAAAGATAATTCAGCACCTCTAAAACTGACTGGTTTTGGTGTTTCTTTGAAGTTACCTGCCCCAGCTGCAACTGTTCGAGCTGGTAATTTTTTTTGCATTTTGTTCATGAAATACTTAAATTTTTATTGAATTTTGTGAGAACTGTTCTAATAACAGCATTTCAGGCCGTGTAGGAGTATCCTATTTTATGGCTCCCGAGGTCGTAAGTGATGTGGAATACGGCACAAAAGCGGATATGTGGAGCGCTGGTGTATTACTTTACATACTTCTTTGTGGACGTTTGCCATTTGTTGGCACTCGACAAGGAATATATGAAGGTATCACCGAGGGGAGATATTCAGTATGTTTTGTTCAGGATATTAAGAGAAATGTTATGTTATCCCTGCATTGATCTTTCTGTAACGTTTTACAGTTTTACAACGGGAAGATTTATTGTTGGGAATTTACTTAAATTTATTTTTCTTTTGCAAGATTTTTTGTAGTAAATCTATTTAAATTGAAAAATATTCTTTTCCTAATAATGTGTATTTTCAGCATCACGGGGGTACTTGGCAACAAATTAGCGATTCGGCGAAGGATTTGCTGATCAGATTGCTCACCGTAAATCCAAACAACAGGATATCTGCAGAAGGTGCCTTAAATCATGAATGGTTACGTGAACGTAGTCGTTTTGCTCCTCGTAAACATTTGCAAAGTACTGTAGAACAAATTCGAAGGTATAATGCACGTAGAAAATTGAAAGTAAGTTGCAATTTGTTTCTAAAAGAATTTAAAAAATTCATAGAGGATGCGTTAAAACTATCAAACACATGACGAAAAGAAGTATAATTTTACTAGCAAACTATTTACTTAATGGAAAATGTTTAAATTCGCTTGAGAGTACTATTGTGGCTACACATGATTGAATTATGTTTGTTGTAATTAACTGTTTGGTTATTAATTTTAGTTTATTTCATTACACCTAACCTTAAATGTTTCAACCATTGTTTTGCCAAAAGTTTACGGTGATAAACATAAAACTGCCTTTAAAGAATTACTCTCAATAGATCGAGAATTGCCAGTTTTGAGCGAAGATAGTTTGTCGATTTAAAGTTTGCAAGTCAGTTCGAGCTTGCTTTGTTAATTATTGACTTTGTCTATTAATGAAATCGTGGTCTGCTTTTGTCGGGGAATTCCGAAAATTCCATAAGATGCGATTTAATTTGACTCAAACTTGTAAAGCAATAAATGTTGCGGAAAGGGAATAATTTGTGTATTGATAGCATGTACATCTCATTATAGAGCGATATATTATCGGCCGTAAACAACAAAAAGTGGGCAGAAGGGTGCGGTTGTTCGACTGGTACAGACACGAGTGCTGTCGCAATTACAGCACATTCAGATTCTGTGGTCAGTGGTGATCTGTTACCAGGAGGTGACACATGCGACGCGGATGGTTGTACAAGACGTGGTCCGGAGCGAGTAATACCTAAAGATTTGTTCGGTGTCGAAAAGGTACACTATTCTATAGGCCGAGTATTTGGAAGTGTAGTCATCATTTTGCGGTACGCAACGTATATGCAAGCATAACAGCTTAGAAAAAGTTCATTATTGATGAATATTTTATATAATCCAAATAGGATGTTTTGTGTAAAATATCCCTGATAATATGATTTTTAAATTTCCAACTTTGTTAGATCTTGGACTCCCATGAATACTAATTTTTCAGGGATTTTATTCCAAAAATGCCCTGTTTATGTTGCATTATTTTTGTATTCTTCTTTCTTCGATATATCAGATATAGGGAACATGTCGTCAAATGATTTTTCATGTTCGAATTTGAAGTTGGATTTGCTCCCGGATTTAATAGCATTAAAGAAAAACAAGTTATGATGAGAAGAACGAACTATGTATTCAGCTAATGAATGTATTTTAACTATTCTGAAATCTGCTAGTAACAATTCCTAATAGAATCTACTAGTAATAGTTCTCTACTAAGAATTTTAAATTTGAGATTTGAAATTACCATGGTGAGATGCTGAAAATAAATAGAGATTCTACACTATCGCATAAAAGTAAAGGAACGGAGCTGATATCAGAGGAAAATTATATCGAAGGTTTCTGAGTAAAACATTTTTGTTTTGGCAAGAACTAGTTCATCTTAACAAGTGAAATAATTCTATTTTGTGACTTGCTTCTTTTATCTTTCTCACTCTTCAGTTTTTTTTTATTTTCTTTCTATTTCTACTTATATTCCGAATGTACCATTTATAAGACTTTTCAAAAGCACAAAAGAAGTGCTTCTCTTTCCAGATAAATCTATTCTTTTTCAATTCGTTTCTTCATTTTCGAGTAATTGTCCTAGTTGTCTTAATTTCTGTACTGTAGGCTTTTCATTTTCTGACGAACAAATCTGGGGAAATAGAGCTGTCATTTGGTTCTTCAAGTTTTAAATGAGGCTTTTTGATAACTGATGAGGCGAATTAGTGAAAGAATTACTAATTTGAATTACTGATGATAATAATTTACAGATTTTGTTATCACTGGATCAGATAGCTGCGCTTGTAGATGCACCATTCACTTCCGAAACTATGGATCCATTTCTGATAAATTTATCGCTGGAAAATACGGATCTAAAAACATTACTGATGGTAAGTTAAATGCCACATATTATGCAAGCAAGGTATTCTTTTCTCCTAACGAACCCGTCACAATAGACTTATTAATTACTCAAAATAGAAGTAGAACTTTTTGATTAACTAAATATAATTTTTTGAAGATGAAAATGTTTGTGTATAAACCCTTCGAAAGCTGTTTTTCTTTGAATTCTACGTTTCAAATGATAATAATATACGTTTCGGTGTTTCCTTTTGAAATCCACTACAATTATCCCAATTGCGATATAATTTAGTATAAAAGTAAATAGACTGTAAAGATTGTAGAAAAATATCTTCAAAATCTGAAGAATATATCCATCGCCACATTGTAATGTTTAACTAGCAGTTCAGTAGATCATTTATTAAGAACTATTTATGTGAAATGCTTGTACGTTGAATTCTCAATTATTTTAATGATTGTCCATAACTGTAGATTTTTTTCAGAAAGCAGATTTTTTTTGAAACGAAAAATATTTATAGAATTTGTTGGGAGGAAAAAAAGTGAAGTTTGTAAGAAGAGAGTTTTGTTCTGTTGAAATTATGAACTACATTAACTGCTCAAATCTAATAATAACTGATGTGTCTTGTCACTCGTTCATTTCACTGTTTGCTTGTCCGACTGTTAATCTGCCCATAATCCGATGTAGAAATGATACTGCTTAAGCTTAGCTAGTTTGACTTTGACATTCAATGTTGGTTCTATTCGCTAATACAACTTCAGCGGAGCTAAATGATCGAGAGGGCGCATGTCTAAACAATAATCGTAATGACGTAAGGATGACAACAAAAGATGAATCTAGTGATGACCATATCCTCCCAAAAATGCCTTATCCAGTTTACGAATCCCCCTTTGTTCTTTAACTTCCAAGCCTCTCTTCATTCTTTATTTGGTTTCAGCCAAAGCAGTAAGCCTGTAAAAGTAATCAGTTGTTTAATTCAACCAAAACTTTGAATTTTGCCGTCCTGTAGATTTTTTAATTGAAAAGCTGATGCATACATCCTTCTCTTTGACATCCTTCAACTTCTGGTAAACTATGTGTTTAAACAGTAATCTTCTCTTTTTACAACGATGAGAAAGTCTTTCTGTGATTTCTACTAGCTGATCCAATTAGTTAAGGGATTCAAGAAGTGACAGCGATGTGTTGAATGGGAATGTCACCACTGCTAGCTTAGAAGTCACTCATCAAGTTTAGTGTAGCATTCGGAGAAGAAATCAATTCATGTTTGCCTTTCTGCAAGCAGTGAAATGAACATCTCGACAATCTTTCCACATTTTTTTTCTCTTCCCTTCTATTTTTTCTTTCCTCAGCTTTCAAGTTTTGATTGTACTTGAGGGCCTTACTTATTTCATCTAAACTTGTCCTTCAAAAATTTTAATCCAAAATTTCAAGAGCCATGTTGAATACATTTTCCTTAGAGTTTTTCTCATTGCGATACTACTTACCTATATACTGCTACATTATTTTATTCTTATTGAAACATGACAATAAGGAGTAACTAGGAGAAAGATGGAATGAAACTGACTTTAACATTTTAAATTATTTGTATTATATTGCAATCGATTTAACAATGGTTGATTTCATCTATGAGTTTCAGTTCCGCCCGGTGTTGTGCATCAGTTGATTTGTTCATCTTTCTGTTAAACAACTTGTCAAACAAACATCCACCCACTATTCAATTCAACTAACTTCCCATCACTTCTTTGCCCTTCAAGCGAAGAAGTTTCACAACGTTACAGCGATCTGTCATTTCTCTCTATCGATGTGTGTGTGTGTATGTATGTATGTATGTGTTTGAAGACTGAAGCTAATGCTACTTGCAGCAGTTAAGTGCTAATTCCATCTTCGGATTTCCTTTTGCTTTTTGAATTTCCCCGTTGTCATAAAAGGTTAAAATTCCCAACCTCAAAATTGTTTGTTACTCAATGTAAAGTGAAGTTTCCTCGATTCTTTTCTATCCTCTTTTTTGTTTGAATTTTTTTTTTGTTTAAATTGAAAATTTTTCATGAATTGATCGAAATTGCTGAAAATAAATTCGTAATTCCACTTTTTGGTTCCTTTTGGCAAGGCTTGAATTTTTTCATCAACGAAAACAAGTTGGCTAATTCCCTGCTTGTCATTTTCCTAGGATCCTTTTTATGCTGTTTTGTTCTTTTTTTTTTTATTCATTTTGAGCGAAATGATATCTAAATAAATAAGAATTCTCCTCTCTAATTTCTTCCACATCTGTAAGCTGTTGCTCAATCTGTCAACTACAGGATTCTTCAACAGCGCAGATAAATTTAGAATTATCTGATTGATTGCTGGTAAACTAAAGACTTTAAATGTTTGAGAGATATTAGACAGTTTTATGGGATGAATTAATAAATTTACATTATTTCATAAAGAGATGAATGCTTAAAGAGACTGCTAGATTATTTTACCACGGAGAACTTCAGAATATAAAGTTTATTGTTATTCGGTATAGTATTGTAAGTTGAGTGCTATCCCTACTGAGTCGGAATAAAATCCATCAGTGATAGTATTAAAGGTCAACAGGATATCAAAATCAACGAACTTCTCTCTTCAGCACTTCCAGTAGGTTGTTTCATGGGGAATGCAACCATACTGTCTATTTCCTCTTTTCATTCCTATCACTAATAAAGTTCGCTTTGCTATCCTGTGAATATCATCGGCTACCTATGACTTCTGGCTCTTTGAAAATTGCATAGAAATTTGTGATTATTACATATTTACAACTTTTCATTCGTTCCACTTGTCGTGTGTGAATCGCTGTGGAGCTAAATCATTTTCGAAAAGCGTTAAAAATTGAATGGATTTTTTATTTAAAAATATTTTCCGAACATTCCAGATGAATGATGATAAGAAATGAAGGGGATTGATAACAGTTGTTCCTTGGAAGAGTTCACTACTATTACCCTTAATCAAAAGGTAAAGATTTTTTCTTTACTGAAGCTGACCGCCCAGTTACATGAACTTAAAAGAACTTCATGAAAATATGCTTATTCGTTTTAATCAGTTTTCTTTCTAATTAGTTTTCAAATTTCTGGTTGTTTTTTCCTGTTGGATAGAAAACAATGCGAATGTTTGCGATGGAGTTTTTTTATTAGGCCGGGTAGCGGAAAAGACAATGAAAACGCTTGCAAACAAAACGACTAATTACAACCGATATATTTCCATATAAAAAGGCGAAATTCTCTCTCATATTCTATTGATTTAAGAAAAATTATATCCAAATTTTCTTAGAAATTTTTCTCTTCATTGAAATTTACGTACTGAAGTGTACAGATAAATTCTTATGTTTTTTGAGATTGTTTTTTCAGCATTGAGAAAATTTTAATGCATGTTACCAGTTCATGTTTTTTGAACTTTTGGATTTTTTCGATAAGGAGATAACTTCAAAACCGATGAAAAGGTGCTTCGGAAAGTCTATGCTTTATCTTGAAATGTCTCTTAGCTCAGAGACAAAAGTTTGAAGATTGTAAGAAAAAGATTAAAATTACAAGATTCCTTAGCCGTGGAGAAAATAGCCTTTTCTGGTAGGTCAAGTGCATAGCTTCTTTTCTTGCAGAGTTTCTGAACAGAAGTTGCTAAAAAAAAATCTAGTAAAATTACTTTTTTGTAAAAAAGATTACTTTTTTACAAAAACTACCGAGCCTTTTTGTGGTCGGTTGTTATTTAATGAAAAACTAATTTTGAGCTTCATAAAGAAGCATTTTAATATCAACAAACTTAGCATTTTTGTAGACTACGGCCCTGAGTTGAGCAATCCTGATCATTATCTCATTTTTGAAAATGAGCTCAGATTTTCTTAATCCTCAACAGTCCTCCATATCAGTTTCCGCAGTGTTCAATTTTATTGACATCTCTGTATCGCTTTTTCTGTGATTGTTGTTTAGGTAAGTTAATGTGAAATGAACTTCAATCCGCCAAATAATTCAAAGTCATCACAACCAGTTCAGAGTAATCCGAAGATTTTCCTCATATTAGGATAGTGATATATTCCTGTCTGAATAAATAATGTATTTGAACAATAATGCATCTCCATATTCTTTATATGCTTATCTTCCTGATTCTATAAATAATTTCATGCTATCCACAGCAATGCTTGATATCTCTCTTTATCACTCCCTTCTGCTTTATTTATTGGTAACTGCTCTATCAAAATGAATAATACATTTCTTTTGCAATATTCCCCTTTTTTCTAAAAACTAATTATTTCGCAGAATTCTTTTTCCTATTTTTTCCACCAAACCTATTAAGTATCATCTATTTATTCTGAAACACACTTCTAAAAGCTATTATTTTATTGTCAGTACTTTTCTATAAGGTTTATTAGAAGGAAGAAAATTTCTGTTAAATATTAGTCCATCGACCCATTTCATTTGCTCCTTCTTCAATATATTGTTGCTGCCACTGAAAAGGATGTGGTCCACTAAATTTGGGATGCCAAATTTAGTGGGAAGTTTTGTTTAAACGAATGTTCCGTTCCTTTTTCTTATTCCAGAATGTGTTTTTGCTCTATCAAAGATAGATTTGTGTCAAAGATACAAATCGGAATGGATATATCCAGGTTCTGAATTACTAATTCAGTCTCAAATAAAATAGCTAAAGGATTAAGAGCAGGAAAGGAAGGAAATCGAAATATAGAAGGAATTAATATATCCAAAAGGGAATGAGGTGCACCTTCCTTCGATTGTACATGGATTTAGTGCTGAAAATTAAGATCTCGAAAATTTTCTGCGTCAGATTTTCTATCACCGTTTCTTTACATCTTTTCCTTTCCTTCTTTCTGAATATATAGACGTCTGATTGAGTTGTTTTGTCGTATGTTTGAATATTTGTTATTGTTAATCAGTAATCTGGCGTTATAGTTGACTAACTGATGTTTGGATGCTGCTTACGATTTGAGAAATATTTAACGAATTTATAAGTTTCTAGATTTTAAAGGACTAATGAAGTTTATTTCACTTCATTCATATTTTAAACTTCATCCCATCATGGTTAATTTTCAAAGATCCATCAAACTGGTAATTGATATGCCTAAAGAACATGAAGTAGAGTTGGTGAATCTCTTGTTCTCTTTTTATTTTCCAATAATTATTCAAACGAAGTTTTAATTCATTGTAAACATTGCTTGACCTCAACTGTTGAAGTTTAATTTTTATTTAAATCCACTATTGAAAATTACATAAATTAAAAATTTTCAGCTATATGATCGGATATCGAATCTATCGATTCAACCATTAGTATTGGAGCATGATTCTGCTAGTTATGCTAGAGAGGTTTGATAGTTAAGGAATTGTTTTTAATACTTAATTGTTATGCTCATTCCTTCTCGAGTTACCTTTCTGTTTACTCACACATCTTTTTTTGAATCCTTTTTTATAAAAGTTATCTTTAAATATTTCTAGTTATGCGTACAAATTGGCGGGTTCTTGCAACCTTCAGCTGAAGCAGTAGAATTACGACAGTTACTTGAATCACAAGAAATTGAGGTTTAAAATCTGTCGACTCCTTCTTAATTTAATAAACTTTATAATGTTCACTATCAATTATTTGTTTGAAATTCGGTAACGAATCGTTAAAACTTCAAACTTTTTCATTTACTGAAGGATGAAAGAAAAACTTTAATTCCTCGACTTTCAGGCAGTGTTACAAGCATACGATGTAATAATCCATGAAATTTATGAGGGTAATGCTCGTGTCAATTGCACCGCAGCGGAAATAAGTGGCAATAATGAAAAAATTGTCCATCAACAACAAAGTGCGCTTCCACAAATGTCTGTTCAGGTTGGTTCTTCATGTCTTTTTCTGCAAAGCATATAAAATTAAAAATCAGATTTCCTTCCCTTTTGTCAGCAACTTATTAGATTTGACTTTGATTCACTACCAATGATACACATCGAACTGGATCAACTAGGATATTAGGATTTGTTTCTGGGACCGCTTTGCTCTAAATAAAAATTTGCTTCCTTCCTCTTTGTGGTTATGAATTTCAGATATATTTATTTTATATCGATTTTGCAGGCGTCCACATCATCGCAGTTACCATTTTCATACCTTAACGGTGGTGTACTTCGAACGCAGACATCTCACGCAGTTACATCTTCCTTTGGTACTGCGGCGAACGAGCTACAGCAGCCGTTCGGGCTATCGCTTCATGATGATGATGATCTGATGATGGATTCCGTCAGTCGAGTACGCTTAGTGCAATTTCAGAAAGATACCGAAGAACCGATGGGAATTACTTTGAAGGTAGATTTTTCTTCATCTGACGTCTCATGATTTCATACTGCATCTTGAGATCATTTTTTAGTGATTTTTTTTTTTTTTTTTTTGCATTTTTTTAACTTGTAATTAGGAACATTTTCAAAAATTAGTATTCAGGTGACGGAAGATGGTCGATGCCAAGTGGCTAGAATCATGCATGGTGGATTGATACATAGGCAGGGTACGTGAACCTTATTATTACTCATTTAACTTTATCAACAGAAACTGTACGATCTTTCGGGTGTGCTTAAAAAGAAATTGTCCTTTCTTGAATATGCTAAACTCGTTAAGACTTTTTGGTCTCGGTAGCATTCGTCTGGAGCAGCATTTCATTACATCATTCTTTTAAGATATAGAACGGTAGTTTTCATACCTTTTTAAAGTCGCTAAGTTTAGAAACATATTTTTTTGAAGCATCGAGCCCAGAAATGCTGCGTAGTTTTTTGGTTTAGTTTGAAATTCTAATTTTCTTAATAGTTACATGAGTTTTCCTAAATGACCTTTGATTTTTTTGTCCCTAGTATTTAGAGGATTCATTGATAAATTGTAGCAACTCTTCATGTTGGTGATGAAATTCGTGAAATCAATGGTGTCAATGTGCTGAATCAAAGCGTTGAAATGCTACAGCGGTTGTTGCGCGACGCACGTGGTGCCGTGACATTCAAGATAGTCCCATCCTACCGCAGTGCTCCACCAGCATGCGAAATATTTGTCCGAGCTCAATTTGACTATGATCCGGGACAAGATGACTTGATTCCATGTCCACAGGCCGGCGTTCCATTTAAAACCGGCGATATTCTCCAGGTATGGGTATTACTGGATTTCGTGAATTATTATTGAGCATGTTCATTTTTCAAGTTTTATGGGTTAGAATATGTAATGGCTTTAATGTGCATTACTGATTGGTTTTGCTTTGTCCCTTCTAGGAAAAAATATAGTAAACTGTTTATGAACAGTTCCAGATGATAATGGACTGTTTCAGGTGATATCAAAAGATGATCATATTTGGTGGCAAGCGCGATATATCTCTCAGTTTCCAGCTCTTGGAAATGGTGGTCCCAGTGGTACACATACTCCGGGTGCCTCGGTTGCTGGTTTAATACCATCACTGGAGTTGCAGGAATGGAGAACTGCTTGTTTGGCTATGGAACAAGCTAAAGACAATAGTTAGTTTATTGAATTCGCCATATTTGTTAAGAAGTAATATATTATACTACTGGGAAGCGTTAGTTATCTTCAGATATCTATCAAGAATGTCTAAATATAAAATAATTCCTTTAGCAACTTTATGATTTCAGATCTTCTAAATGCCATCGTGAGTGCAACTTTGAGAGTTCCAATCAGACCATTTCCTAGTAGGGATTTTGTGGAATCCTTCTTAATGCCATTTATAAATTTTCAGCTTGATAATTTTGAATGTGAATGACGAATTCTTATTTAGCTCATTGTATGTGGCTCAACAAGAAAAAAAAATATTATACAACCAAGTATCTTCAGAAACATTCCGCTTTATTCGATCAGCTTGATCTCGTCACTTATGAAGAGGTTCAAACTGTCTCGTCCATTCTTCATTTAGTTTTACCATTCTAATTTTATTTTATTGATATCTATCAAGTTTGAAGATACCTGATAAGGATTATTTGATTAACTTTCGAAAGACTGTTTTTTTTTAGGTGGTACGTTTGGCAACATACAGACGTAAAACGTTAGTATTGCTGGGCGCTCATGGTGTTGGCCGAAGGCACATCAAAAATACACTTATTCATAGGCATCCACAAAGGTTTGCCTATCCTATACCGCGTAAGTACTTTAGTCTTTCTATAACTTTGAAGCAAAAGGCTTTAAATAGATTAACTGATGAATAATGGTAGTTCAAATGGAATTTTCTCTTTGTACCAGAAAAAGGGACATTTCATAACTTTGGTCTGTGTGGACTGAGTATTTTTACGACTCACTGACTTTACGAAGGAAGTATTTTTGTGACTTATCATTTCGAAGGAATTTTTTCTCTATCAGTGACTTTGCGGAAAGACTGTTTTTGTGACTCAATAATTTTACAGAGGAGGTACTTTTGCGACTCACGACTTTATAATGCTTTGAATTTATATTGTTTTTATTATAGATACAACAAGACAGCCAAGAAAAGACGAAATTGATGGGAAACATTACTATTTTGTATCTAATGATTGTATGCTTACCGATATTCAAGCAAATGAATACTTGGAGTATGGGACCAACGAGGAGTGCATGTATGGTACCAAACTGGAAACAATTCGCAATATTCACAGGACAGGAAAAATGGCTATCTTGGATGTCGAACCTCAAGTAATTTCAAATTTCCTATCACTTTATTATTGTTGCCAGTATATATTTTATCTCACTGATTGCAACAAATTTCAGGCGCTGAAAGTTCTCAGGACAGCTGAGTACGCTCCATTTGTTGTTTTTATTGCTGCACCAAATCTGCACGGTTTACAAGATGTAAGTTTTTTAAGAAATTGTAAATTTCTTAAAACTTCAAAAGAACTTTGCAACGATAATAATGCTTTTATTCCTAAAATTTTCCAACATAGATTTAACACTGGCCTTTTGTTTTTTCAAACGTAATGCTTTTTCAAACGCATTATTTTTCAAAAAATTAAAGGTAATTATATCATTTATTTTAAGATTCCAAAATTTTGAATTTTATAAAATCTCATTTGCAGCTATCAATAATAAAATATTACAGCCAGATGGTAGCTTGGAACGTTTGCTGCGAGAAAGTGAAATTCTTCGGCAGGCATTTGGACACCTTTTTGATTACGTGATACTGAATAACGATATTGATGAGACAATTCGACAACTGGAGCTTGTAGTGGAGAAACTTAACGCCTGTCCACAGTGGGTGCCAGTTTCCTGGATCTATTAATTCCTTGTTATAATTTTTACTGATCGTTGGTAATGTTCCTTCATTCTTATAGAAAGTAGTCCTGAAGACTAGTGCAAGAGGCACTAAAAGTCATTAGATCTATTAATATTACGTAGGAAAGGATTTGCTGTTTCTTCAGGATTGACTGTCCAAGATAGGTGACTGATCTTATGCAATAGTCTTACATGTTAATTCGATCTTCTGCTGTACTACAGTGATTTTAAACAAAGGATTAATAAATAGATTAGCTACTCTTATTCTTAAAAAGTGTATTAAAAATGAAATTTACGTCAACTAGGTTTAGGGAAAGGGTGACCATAGGTGAGGAGAGAAGAGATTTTCTATTCTTCTATTTGGTGTTCATAAGTGAATACTTATCAGTTTTGTTGCGTGCACTGATATGCTATGATTAATTGTCTTCATTGTGGTGTATTATGTTTTTTTGTATTTAATTTGTTTTCCTTCTTTCTCAGTGATTTCATGAGTTTCTTCAAATATATCAGTTTGCGTCAGCTGACAAATTGATAATTCACTCGAAACTTGACCAGCCTGTCTGCTATCCTTTTTTAATTTTAGCTAGACTTCTTTAGACAGTGCATAGAATGGAATCCCTATGTTTTGATCCAAAAATTTCCTTCTAACGAAGTGACCTTATTGCGTTATGTAAGCATACACATACACAGAATTTGATCTGTCATGAATATATAGAAATCTAGCGTTTTTTTTCAGAAAATTATATAATATATACTTTTATTTTCGCAGTAATCTTTAGGTCTTTTTAAGATTCTTGCTAATGTGCCTCAAGTTTTGACTTTACTAAACCTCATGTTTGAAGTTCAAAGCTTGTTATGAATTTTATTACTGCTCTATCTTGATGCCGTATGCTTACATACTTATCACTGATTATTGTAGAAGATGGATTGAATTTCTGCAGCTTGCAAATCTTTATTTCTTTTATTGTTGATTTTAATGTTTTGAAAGTGATAAAAGCTAAGGTTAAAATGTTTCTTAACATTAGAAAGTGCAGTGCAGAAGAGTTGCTTAGTTTTCTTAATGAGTACTCATTTTTTGTTAATAATTTAGGACGATAGATCATTAAGAAAATAAAAGACTTAGTCTAATTTCAGGAACATTTGACGTATTACTTTGACGAAATGACTATTTCATTCCGTTACGTTACACAGTATGAACATATAATTTGTAATCGTATAAGGAAACATGCAATAAAATCAGACTGGATCAGTTGATATTGTCTTACACTTTCCATCTTTCCGCCAATAAATAGGTGGGCTTTAGAAGTATACAAGGGAATGCGAATCCAATAAACAGAGGGACATCATCATTTCTCCTGAAAATGTTAATGATATAGGCCTGCTAATTGTATTACCAATTAGACTATTAATTAAGTAAAACGAAGTAATCTACAATTAATAAACTGGAGAATTTTGTGAAGTGTGTAGAAAAGTTGAAAATATCATTTCAAAAATGAATTTCTTTACCTGACTACCAGCTGTTTTATCCACCTTTTTAATGCTATCAGATGGTCGTTTGGCGTTTTTTGTACTGCCTTTTGTAACATATTTTGCCGTACCTCCACCACTGCTTTTCCCTCTGCTATCAGTTTCTTTCTTCTCACCTCAAGTAATTAGTTAATGAAACAGGTTTAGTAAAAATTAACTAAAATTCTTCAACCAAATAATATTTTATCTTCAATCAGGCGATCTCTCAAAGTATTCATTTTCAATCGTTAGGAAATAATTAAGAGCATATTATTGACAATAAGACTTTTTTTGTAATGGTCTGTGTAGAATCAACAAACTTCACCACCTTTATCCTCTTTTTTCTCTTCTTCCGTATCACCATTCCCTGCTGGTTTCTTTTTTTTTTTTTTTATTCTCAAATCATTTCTTATATCACTGTGATACAAACTATAGATTCAATGAAGAAGTCATCATTTTGGCACAAAAATAAACATGAAAGATTTTTTCTATCAGTTCTGCTATCAAGTTTCATCTGTTATCTTTTAACATTAGTTTTTGAAGTGCTGATTAAACTTTCATTAGATTTACTTAGTTAATGCAAAAAAAAGCTAGTAATGGAATCTTTCTGATGTCATAACACCTTCGAGATTTGTATTGGCTCTTGATTTCTGACCATCATCCTATAATCATATTTAAGTCTTTTGTCTAATTAATTTCATGCAAACTACTTAAAGTTAGCCTCTCTGATCCTATTAACCGTCGAATTATTTTTCTCGGTTTTTTTGTTTCAGTGTACGACAATTTCCAAGGCTAACTGTCCCTTAAGTTGCTACCAACATATTTTCATTGGTAATAAAACTTAGTGGACGAATGCCAGTGTAACTAATTTAGCGTACAGCACATCACTCGAATTTACCTCATTTATCTTTTTACCATCTCTTTCAGAATCCCAATCACTCAGTACATCGTCCATAGTCGAATAATCACCTTTGCCACGTGTCTCTTTACCTTTCGCTATTCGTTCCTGCAACACTGAATGATAAACATTCGGATATCAGATATTCACAACTTCTGAAATACTTAAATACTTGTAAAATCAGCCGTTCTTTGCATCGTTCAGTGATTTTCTTGAAACATTGATTGTTAAAAAACTGCGAATGTTAAAAATATTTTTTGTTCAAAAAAGGCATTGAATTTCACACCTCTTTAGCATTTCGTTTCATAATTTTGGGTTTTCTTTCTTCAATACGCTTTTCTTCCATCTCCTTTAAGCGCTCTTTTTCCTTGTCGGCTAAATTTTTTTTCCTTTTTTTTGGGATTTTTGCTAAACTAGGATTTTTTCTAAAATTAATGTCAACATTGAGTGTACTCAGTGCATTTTTGATTTCATTTTGAATCATTTGGCTTTTCTTCCAGGAAAATAATGATTTCTTAAATAATGCTCAACTCAAGATCTTCAATTGGACTTTAGTAATCTAAAGTCTATGTAGCATCTTCAACAGCTGAAACGTGTTGTTCTTCTAGCGCCGCCCTTTTTTTTCATCTGGACTGTTACTTTTATCTTGTTTATCCCTTATTTTCTCCTCTGGTGCTGGAGTATGCGCACTTTTCACTTTTTTCTTTACCTAAAAGCAGAGATCATGCGATTACTCATAGCGCTTCTTGTTTAAATTTCAATGAAATCAACAAGCATCGTTCGAAAATGCTGAAATCAACGTGGTAAGTATTACTTTCATTTTTTCCTTTTCCAATTTTTTTTTAGTAATGTATATCTGAATGTAAAATGAAATAGACAAAAGAATGGTTTCAGAACTGTAATTAAACTTAATTGGTAGTCTATTATTTCAGCTTTATACATTTCATATATAAATTAAAATCATTGGTAAAAAATTCTTTTAAAAAAAAAATTTTTTTGTTATGAAATGTTTAATTAATTATACTTCTGTAGTTTCATCTGTATCTAAAAGGTACACCTCTTAAAACGAATATCTTACATAAAAAGGTATAGACTAACCTTTTTATGTAAGAGCATTTTAACGATAACGATATTTCCATTTTTTTGGTGGATTTCATGAGCAGCAAAAAGCTGAAACCTTGAAGTAAATGCCTTTTACCTGATTACTTGTTAAATTTCAACTATTACAAATTATAGTGAATTCTCAAACATTTTGATAGTTGAAAGGAATGCAAGCATCAGTGTTACTTCAGTTTTGTCCTTTCGATCTTGAATTCGAGGCTTTTTGTGTGAGCATTGTGCTAATGAAATGACAATTATAACGCTTGACTGAAATGAAACAATTTTATTATTATATATTTTCATTAATTTTTTTTCTGATTACTGAACTTTTTGTTGTGGACAGTATTTTTGATTTTCTCTAGATCCATTTCATCTAACAGTAGGCACTTCTATCCAGATTGTTCGTTTGAATCAGACAATTGAAAGTGTTACCACATTTTATTAGGGAATGTTAGGAATCTCAGGAATTTCTTACTAATATTTGGTACATAATTGTAAGAAAAAAGACGAAGACTGCTTGACTGATCCGTAATAGCAATTTCGTCATTTTCTATCTGAAATATAACTGTTTGGCCTTTTATGTACTTCTAAAATTTATAAAACATCAATAAAATTAAGGATATGGGATATTCACAACTTCTAGCCATCTTATATGATTCACACAATCAGTGATCAACATTTATATATTACAGTATATCAAAATACAAAAATTGTGGTCTACTGATCTTGCTGGTGACTGTCAATTGCAGTTAGTTTTTGAATTCTATTTTTCTCAATGTTTTCTTGCTGCTTAAATATAGTTTACCACTGAGCATTCCTTTCCAATATAGAAACTATCCTACTCCTTTGATGAAGGTAATGTTCTTCCTTAACTGCGAAAAAAACAACGACAGCTGGAAAGCGGCACCTATTGAACAATTCATCGAGTAAACCAGCCGTTCGTCGCGAAGAAGTTTTTATACAATAGGAAAGAGACTAGCAGTGATTAAAGTATATAAAACTAATAAATATCCAGTTAAAAATAATTAATTACTCGTCTTAAGTAAGCTTCATTTAATGGTTCTATTATTCAGTTTCAAATCAATTCTAATCATATTCGTCAATAAATAGGAGCATTTTATAAAATTTCTTGTATTAATTCATCTTATTTTTTATACCGTGACAACTAATAAGTAAGAAGTTTTTCATTTCGTAAAATTTTCTGTATCTAATTGTTCTTCCTCCTTTTTGAAGATTCTTAATTTTTTTTTGGGAAAAAACTAAAATATAAAAAAAAAACTATAAACTATATAAAAAAAATAAAATAAAATCTTGATATTATTATGATTCTTTTGAATAATAACAAAATTTACTCATTAGCTTTTCTACTTAAAAACTTTTCAGAATCAGCTAGCTCGTTGCTTATTTTTTCTTTTTGAAAAACTATTTTTCCATCCGTTGGCTTTCACTTTCGAATGCTCATGTCACTGCCAAATAAATTTTCGTTTCTTATTTCTGATTGTGGTTAATATTTGTGTTGTATAATCTTGAAACTTAGCGCTGTAAAATACCTACCACTGTCAGTAATACTTGCAGTTGTTCTAATAAAGATAATATGACATTTAAGAATCTTAATTGGGGATTTATTTAGATGAGAGACCATGGTAATTGGATCTACTGTAAAAATTTCTGTGATGTGGATTATTTCAGGATGAAAAGAATCATTTCGTCCATAATGTCTTTCTGTACGATATACTACGCAAACTGGAATATAGTTTTTCGGGAAAGGACGATAATCGTTGTCCAAGATGCTGTTGTGGTGGTGCCCGACCAAATCAGAAAACGATGTTGAGATCATAACTGCCAGCATTAGAGGTCACGATTCTCTCTCTCACTCCTTCATAAAACTATCAATCGATTTCTACAGGTCTCTATCAACGGTTTTAAATATGCTCGTGTTATTCAACTTCATTTTGCCACACTCTTTCGCTTCTTTCTTCTTTCACTTTGCCGAAGGTCGAAGCAGCTCATAAATGCATTTCCAGTGCCGATTTCAACCGATTTCTAAGTCCGAAGCGCTGCAAGTTGATCTCATATTTACACTAAGATTCATACTCACGCCCATTTATATTCTTTTCTCATTAGACTCTTCTGTTTATTGTAGGGATAGAAACTTAGTCATTATAGTTTGAATTTATTTATTGCTACTTTTACAGATTGTTGGGTATGTACTGCATTACATTTTTTTGTATGTACTGCATTACAGCAGCCTTTATATAAAGTGAAAAATAATTAAATTTAGATGTAAACTGTTCAGTCTGGTTCATTCATCTTGTCTAGGAAAATCGGAATTCTTTATCGGCAAGCATTCTTAAAAGACTGCGGATTGAGAAAATCCTCTTCATTTGTGTCATTAATCTTGAATTAAAAATTCATAGGTTAGAAGAATTTTCAGATCACTGCAATGAATTATAAATCGCAATGACTTATTTGCATCGATAAATTTTTGTAAATAGAATTTCTATAATATATTTCTATTTTTTCCTTCTTTTTTGTTGATAACAATGTTTAATAAAGCTAAGATAACGGCATATCGGAATTTGTAATAATGATCGGCAACAAAGATAATAAAATTTGCTGTACTAATTTTATCATATCAGAGCAATCAACCGTCTCGTGGGAAGGGTTGGTTATTTTATTGAGGAAACTTTTCATTTTATCATTTTTCCGCATCAAATTACTATAGCGTGCTGTTAAAATCTCAAAGAAAAAATTCCCATTTAATTTCAAGAAAATGTACCTTCTACCGTTGCTGTGGTTTTTTCTGCTTCCACTGTACTATTTGACAGCTGTAGCATTGGTCACTGATCCAGAAAGTTCGACGAAGTCCCTTTGGCAAGCTTCAAAGGAAAAGAAGAGGTAAGCACATTGTGTTTTAAGCAAATCTTGACCACAATTAGAAACCCAGTTGCAGAAACATGGGAACTAGAATACTTGAAGTGGAACTAGAAATTATGGTCCTTTTTACTATTTAATTAAATACTGCATGTTGTTTAGATTTTAAATTGCAAGAATACATACTGAATATTTTTGCAGATTTGTTATTGATGAATACAGGAACACTAAAATAGCTCCGGAAGCAGAAAATTTATCCGGTCAGGAACTTATCGATTACGTCAACTCACATCAAACACTATGGAAAGTAAGTCATTAATGAAGATCAGTGATATATAAAATGTGAAAAAAGCAGTTAGATTTGTTTGCGAGTTTGCACCAAGTTCAGTAGCTCTTGTATTTTCAGGCAGGAATGAATAAATTTAATTTATATAGCGATACTGTGAAATATGGTTTGCTTGGTGTAAATAATAGAAAAAAATCCGTGGAGCATAAGAAGAACCTGTCACCAATACGACATTCTAATATATTTATTCCGGAATCATTTGATGCTCGTAAAAATTGGCCAGAATGTGCATCGCTTAGGAATATCCGAGATCAGTCTTCTTGCGGCAAGACTTTTGGCTCTCATTCTGACAAAATGCATATTCAAATGTGAAAGTATAAGTCTTTTGATTATGTGCAGATTATAATGCTCTAAGTATTTGATACATGAATGAGTAACTTGATTCAGGTTCCTGTTGGGCTGTTGCTGCTGTGGAAGCTATGTCAGACCGAATTTGCATTACGTCGAAGGGTAAGAAACAAGTAATACTTTCAGCGGATGATCTTCTTAGCTGCTGCAAAACTTGTGGTTTCGGGTAAATTGTTGCATTTTATCTGGGTTTTTATATCCATTCATCTTTTTTTTATTTGTTTGCCTCAAGTTATTGGATGTCATAGATCACTGCAACAAGATTCATTGATCCTTTTACACTTGATTAGTAATTCTTTTTCAATTTCCTAACTGTTTGTAGCGATTATAAAGACCAGAATTTGTTATCAAATTTATGCAGTAATTTAAGAAGAGGACAAGTAGCCTATTGATACGTATACTTTGCAGCTGTTTTGGTGGTGAACCGATGGCAGCATGGAAGTATTGGGTTTTAAGTGGTATCGTTACGGGAAGTGATTATACGAATCACAGCGGCTGCCGACCTTACCCATTCCCCCCGTGCGAACATCACAGCAATAAGACGCACTATGAGCCATGTAAACATGACCTTTACCCAACGCCAAAATGCGACAAGCAGTGTGATAAAAATTATAAAAAGTCATACAAGGCTGACAAATATTACGGTTAGTTCTCTTCGATTAATCTTGAATCTGAATATCGCTGAGGAGCAATAGAGTGGTGCTTTCTTATATCTCTCTGAAGTTTAAATAATGAATTTACTGATTGATTAGCTACTCTTGGGCACTGAAATTTAATAATAATTAATAATGATAGTAATGACGATGAATAATATTAATAATAATGATAATTTTAAAAAAATAGTATTAATTAATTATAATAATTAACAATACTGAATAAATAAATGAATGATTCAGGATCAATCGAAGTTTGATTTTGAATTTCACATACATTCAGCTCTTCTCTTTTCCAGTTCGTTGTGTATCTTAGAAAACCGTTAGATATTAACAACCATAGATAAAATGATTTGAGTGTTCAGATATAGCTTGATTATAATATTTAAATAATCTGATTATTAAAATTTGCAGGGGAACAAGCTTACAATGTTGAAAACGATGTAGAATCGATCCAGAGAGAAATCATGACGTTGGGTCCGGTTGAAGCTTCTTTTGAAGTATACACTGATTTCCTGCACTATACCAGCGGAATTTACAAGGTCTTTATGAAGTTGCGAAATTTCATGAAATGAATTGATAAGGGACCTAAAAATTATTGGTGTTTCCGTCTGATAATCAAGTCTTTTGAGCCGACTTTGGCTCAGTTGTCCTTTATATTTGTTTTTAAACAGATAAGTTAGATAATAGAAATGAATTCATTATTAAAATAATGTTTCCTTTGTTTTGTGCTTTTTGTTTTCACTGTGGAATTCGAAGGAATGGTCTAAAAGATTTAAAAACTTAAAAATATTGAATTTAGAAAGAACTAAGTTTTTAAATGTCTTATTTTTATAAATGAAACATCAACAGTAGTAGTAATCCGAACGTGCGCCTTAAACAAAAGGATTAGAGTGTGCGGAAATTTTTTTAAGAATTAGTATTCAGCATCCCACTTGGGGATATCACCTTTGTTTTCATATTATCATCCAACAGTAAATTGATAAGGGACCTAAAAATTATTGGTGTTTCCGTCTGATAATCAAGTCTTTTGAGCCGACTTTGGCTCAGTTGTCCTTTATATTTGTTTTTAAACAGATAAGTTAGATAATAGAAATGAATTCATTATTAAAATAATGTTTCTTTTTTTTTGTTTTCATATTATCATCCAACAGTAGTAGTTATCAGAACGAAAGAGAAATCATGTTGTGTTTCTTATTCAGCTCATTGATTGATGTGAAACTCTTGAAACTATCATTTCTGTTTTCTGTTATTTAACTTCGTATATTTCATATAGAAACACAACACTTTCTTGTTCATTTTGAAGAAGCGTTCATGTCTCGTAATTTGTAGCGAACTGATATGCCATAGTCAATAGTTACTTTCAAGAAATTTCACTGGATTAAGAAGAATCAATGTATAATATTCAGCATGTAGCGGGGTCTGTGGGTGGTGGACATGCCGTGAAAATACTTGGTTGGGGTATCGATCAAGGTGTATCATACTGGTTGGCAGCTAATTCGTGGAATAATGATTGGGGAGAAGATGGTAAGTCAGTTTCAGTTTCATTCTTTTTTACAGAAAAAGAGATTCACTGTGTATTTTCTTATTCATTGTTAATCTGATTTAAAATTTAGTAACACTCCGATAAGTGTAAAAGGTACTTCTCAGTGGATATAACTTTCCATACGGTTAACTGTGTCATTTATGAAAGTATTTTCCGGTTACTTCCGTATTCTCCGTGGTGCTGATGAATGCGGGATTGAATCAGGTATCGTTGCTGGAATTCCTAGAAAGGATGCCAGATCGAAAGCCCGCTGAATCAAAGAATTTCTGGCTGAATGATAATGTTTGCAAATTTGAGACGAGAGTGAAGACATGATCGCATCACTTGGAGATATTATTCTCCATTCTGATCATTGTTTTTTAGCAGGCAATTCATGAAGATTTATCCTCCTTACATTGATTCCACTTCATTTATTATATTATTGTACATCAGTATTTTGGAAGTAAATTTTGCATTTCCTAATCATACCAATGTCTTCTTTCTTTAATCAGGAAAAGTAACTATATCTCATATCAGGAGTTTACTCTGATCAAGTTCATCGATTTTTCAATGATACTTTCACCTTATGATGAATTTTATATCTTTGTTTGGTAGGTGAAATTTACTAATCCTGAAAAGTTTGATTATAAACTAGTTATATTCTTTTGCTTTTATAATAATTCGTTGCATATGCATAATGACCATTTCCTTTCACTTTTTATTGCTAGCTTGACAAATGAAACAGAATGGGAATCAGTATGTTTCGCTATAGAAAAGTGCTTTCACAAGGTATGTCTGATATTTTTCGTTGACTGTAATTGTTGAGAAATCTCCTAAAAAATGCTTATAATGTTAAACGTTTTATCGTTTTGCTAAATCTAAACGTTTGGTTGGTTTGATTGTCTGGATAATGACAGTTTTGTAATGCAGAAATTTAAAACACCACAATTTTAGGGAAAATTGCCAAAAAGTTTAGGCAAAAGAGTGACAGCCATTGACAGTTAAAACTGAGACATCTGTTGCAGTTTTAACTATTGAAAAAAAAAAACTGGTGACTTTTACATCGAAGTTTAACAACACCGGATGTTATATAATTAGAGTAAATATTTAAATTTGACCAACAAAGTATTTAAATTTTCGTGAAAATGTGCAATTATATTTTCTTCAATTAACAACTGGTTTGTATTTGTTAATCCTAGACTTCTATAAAGCAGCTGTTCTCAAAACCATTCTCAGTAACTACTTATTTAGCTGTGATCAGCAAGTTCAAGAAAGCTGGAAAGCTGTTAAAGGTTACCATTGGTATGTTTGATCAAAAGATTTTAGAGTGGTATTTCTATTTGTATTTAGAAATGTGTAGGTAGTAATTGTAAGCCTGATTTAACAACAATAAAGTTATTAATAGATTAGGCCTGAATTCGACATTAGACTTTTGAAAATAAATCAAGCTTAAGATATGAAAACTTCAGTTTGAAAGAATTTAGGCAAAGACTGTTATTCAGGAAAAAGAAGATAGTAATGGATGAATTCAGTTTTTCATTTCTATGGACAGTGATGCTGATGATCGTGATGTTTGTCAATCTTAATTCTGTATCTGGTTGCTCCTCTAAAAAAGTCCGAAAGTTTTTGATTTTTTCCCTTGTTCTCCAAAAGTCAATACGGAGTTTCAAAATTTTAGGCGAGTTCAATTCAAACAACTCAAATATCTGCGTCATTCAGACGGATCATAAAACTTTTTGAAAAAATGAGATCAGCTCATTTATATTCATTGGTTTTCCGTTGTTGAGAACTTTTGAATATCAAAATTTGGTACCAAAATTGTAAACAGAAAATATTTTAGAAAAAAAAAGAAGATAAAAAAAGCAAAAGTAAAGACAAAAAGGGTAAGTTACCTATTTAGCTTTTGCTAATACTGATTTGCTCTTCTAATACTTTTGGCTTTCTAAAAAATCGGAGACATGGGATTATTTGGAGCAGGACAGGAAAACACAAACTGTAAAACTATGTCAAACCATCTTTGCCATTTCGTAATTTCTGTGAGTTTATATGCTATGCTACAAAGTAGGTGCGGAGTTAAATCCTGATCTTTTCTTCTCAGTTTTGGTTAGATCAAGTTATTAAGAAAATAACAAAACTTCCAAATCCTATAGTGCATTAATCCAATTCATCCAGTTTATATCCCAAAGCCGTAAAAACATTAAGAAATTGATTGATTGTTGTTACGAGTTATAATTAAAAAATTGACCAGTTAAACCATGTATAATACATTTCATGTTAGCTTACTTTTTTTGGTAGAATAATGTTATTACTTTTGTTTGATAAATTTAGTGATAATTCGATCACATTCCTGATTAATTAGTGAAAAACTGATGTTTAGGTGCTCGAGCAAAGGACAATAGAGAAGGAGATGTAGCTGTAGTTCCTGATGGTGGCGCTATTAAGGCACCAGCTCAAGGCGCGATAGCTGGAACTTTTGATCCAAACTATCAGGTATTGTAGTTGTCCTGGGTAACTTTTTTCTAGGGGTCTTTGGTAGCTGCAGTAATCGGCTTATTGATAGTAATAACTTTAAACATGTTCTGGAACATTTTTAGATATGGTAGAATATTCAGGAGAATTACAGTGGAAGATAAGTGAAGTTAAACTAAAAAATACTGTAGACTATGGCTGGATTAGGAAATGATGTTTTTGGTGCTGACAAAGGTGGCGCAGGTGGAGGTGGTGTTGGTGGTGGAGCTTCTCCTGTTGCACCACGTGTTAGCGGACCAATGGTTCCAGCTCAAGGTGGCATTGCCGGTAAGATGGGCTGTTTTTTAAAGCGCTTACAGTGCCTACAATTAAGTAAATGAATTACTTAAAACCGAATCCTTGACTTGAAAATCTTAATACTCGCGCGTGTCTGGGACCTCTTTTAATTAAAATATTTCTGAAACCTCAGAAGTTATTCTCAAGCATTATGAAGCATTTTTATAAAAGTGTCTTCAGAATCTTAGGCACTTGATTAAAATCCTAATTATTCCAGGAACCTACGACCCAAATTATCAAACAATGGCTGGTCTAGGCAATGACGTCTTTGGAAATAAAGGTGGTGGAGGTGGTGGTGGAGGAGGTGGTGGTGGTATTCCTCCAGGCGGTGCAGGAGGTGCAGTACCTAAAGTTCCAGAGCAAGGCGGTATAGCTGGTAAGCTTTTATAAACATATTTTCAGTGTGGTCACAAATATGTGTTCGTCTGTCCTAAATCTCTGAAGACTTCAACTTCCACCGATATTTTCGTATTAAAAAGTCTCAATTATTTTCTTATTTGTCTTTTTACATTCGTTATTGGAAAAATCTTTCCTAGTCCTATTTTCGGATGCTTCTTGCTAACGATCAATGAATAGGTAAATTTAATCCATATATTCTCATCATAGGAACATTTGATCCCAATTACCAAACGCTTGCCGGAGTCGGTAACGATGTTTTCGATAGGAAATAATATATTTTGGAGAACATTAAAGTGTATTTTGGATCGGACCAATCACAAAAACAGCCTTAGCTTATTAAAGGCGCTCTTCAAAATTCCACTCGTTGAAATCAAAAGAAAAACGAATCATCTCATACACTGCTGCAAAAAGAATTGTCCACGATGTGGAAATAAATATTTCTATTATATTTTAAAATAAAACAGTTTATACAGGCAGTTATGAGGTCACGTACGTCAAAAGATTTTCCTTCTCCGTCAACTGTGGTCACTTGCTATCACCTTTTGTTCATGATTTACTCTTTGATGACTTTCTACTTTATGACATATTTGTGCACGAAAATTGACTGACTAAACTCAGTGGGCCGAAGTAAGCGCTAATCTTATCATTTCCTCTTCCAATAAACGGTGACTCAGTGATGGAAGGTGATTCATTGATGAAGAACGGCAAAGATATGTAAGGCCGCATGAAAAAACGAAGAGTGCAGAGAGTAGGAGGGTAAGGAAATAGAAGGCATTGATATGACAAAGATAAAGAAAAAGGTTCACGACTGGGAAATGGTAAAGTTGTTGTTTGGCAGTAGGGAAGGGCAAGAGGGGTTTTCGGGATAGTCGTGAGGGGAGTGGAGAGAGAGAGAGAAAGAGATGGTGCTGTAGATATAATTGGAAGTCGCGGGGGAAGTCGTTGGGATATCGCGGCACTCGTAGTGTGATTATTGCTCTATGCAGGGCGTGATGAAATGTTTCTCACTGGAAAATGTGATGAGAATTGCGTTTGATAGAAACCACAAGGTAAGTGACATCTGTCGCCATCTTATCACCTTGAAAGCACGTATCCTTTACCGATCATACCTTCTCTCAATATAAGTTATTGGCGTGAAACTTTTTTCTTGATATTTTTGTGGTGTCGTTTTACTATTACTTGTCGGAGGAGTAGACATTGTTTTTTTTTTATAGGCACAGTTGACAGAATCCGCTGCTGAAATATTTGAAATACATTGAATAATTTTTCTACCAATTCTGCTGTGATGAGGATCATAAGAAAATGGAAAATATTGTCATTAGCTACTTTATCAGAAGAACTATGATACAGTGACATTCGGCATATTGAACGTTCGACGTGAAGATATTGCTAGTCAAATCACTCTTCAGAGTAATCACTTCGCAGGTAAGAAAATTATTTTGTTTTTCCTTCACTCTGCGCTCTTCAGATAATTTGACATGAGTTGGGTAAATTCGCAGAGAATGATGACTTGTTCAAGTAAGCTTTAGATTTTTATATTATATTCAACTATTGTGAGGTTGGGATTTCATTATTAATTTATGCTCAGTTTGGCATCTTTTTTTTTTTTTTTTGGTTGTCCTTAAACTGATTGTATTTTCTGTGTCATTCCACTCCTACACATATACTGCAATACAACTTCAAACCTTGTATGAGATATATATTTATTATTTCTGTAAAAATGGATAAATTTTTGCCAAGCTGTGATTATTTTTTTCAGCTGTAATTGATGTGAAAGTGATACGCATCATATTGCATCGTCGTTTCCAGCAGCTGGTTCCCTACACCATACATCACAATACGAACACTGCCAGCAATCAATCGATTTCGTTCAAGTTTGTCACCTTTTGGAAAAGTTAATCACTGACATCAAAAAGACATACTAGCCATAATGTCTGACCACCCAAGAACTCTCAGCCCAGCTTTGAACTAAATATTGATAATTTTTTTTCTTAGTTTTTCTCTCGTATTGGTTTGACAAATTGGAACGTTCTGTAGACAATTTTCATGCATTTATGTCATTGGGGATGAAAGTTTTTAAGTAATAGAAATGAGGAACAAATTTTATAGACTGAGAATAGACAATATCGTCGATTTCTATATTATAGGAAATAACACTATTTCTATATATTCAGCACTCATATTAATCCACTATCATCATTTATTTCTCTGAAAACATCAACGCCTTTCCGATTTTTACTAAAGGTTCAGATTATATTTATAAAAGTATGGCGGTTTATAAAAAAAAGTTTTATTAAAAGTAATCGATCTGTATTATTATTATTTTGCATTCCAACAAACAGACCTTTCATTCTTTTGCCGTTCAGTTTCATGACCATTTGGTTTTCTAGTTCATTTGGTAAAAAATAATACAGATTGATTGTATCTTCAAGCAAAATAATCGAATTGGGCGCAAATAGTGGTGTGTTACACGTTACTTTAATTTGATGGAGTCGTTACATTAATTCGATTTCGAGACTCATCACCTCCCACGTAGTGAATTTCTTGAATTTCGGAATGATTTCTGTGAAAAGATCTGTACTTTTTGCCTTTCTTTTTTATTAAATCGTCATTATCGACTTTTAGATCGGATATACATTGTATCTGCAAGAGCAAAATAGATGCTGCAAAGTGGTATAACATATTGGAGTAGCGATTCAAAATGCATTACTTAGAGCTCAACTAACCTCATAATTTTCGATTGAATTCATGAAGATGCTTTCTAAATTTCTACTAGTTCGTTTTCACTTGAAAGAGTTATAAGCTGTTTACGCTCTGTAAAAAAGCATTCTCATAGGTTTAAGTCATAGAAAATACTTGTGCATTTTCCAATTGCCCAAGCTTAGAAGACGCTATCTGAATATTATTATATTTTTTGAGGTTGTAGCCTTTTGAATCTTTTCAGTTTTATATTGAGGGTGCGTTTAGAAAATTTATGATGATGACCTACTTCAGTTTTTTTTAAATTTCTAGATTTTTTTAGACTTTTCCTAATTCATTTTTGAGCAACTGACATTATAGAGTAAGGGAATCGCATGAAATTTTCTATACAAAAAGGTCATTTTTCGAAATCTTTGTTGATACTAAGGTTGCTTCAGTTCTGGTTAATCTGCATGTTAAGAGACCAACTGTAAGCACTAAACGATTTGGCTTTAATCGATTCATAATTTAGGTCTTTTTTTATTAGTTGACTGCTGATTGCAAGCATGAGCATTACCACTTCATTAGAAAAGTGTTACCTTAAGACTGATAGCTTAGCTTTTAGATATAGATCTTGTCTCTATGTGTTTTTGTTGCTTGTTATTAAAAGTGATGCTGTTTTCTATTTTGGTCATTAAATATGAGATGAATTTTTTTGTCTGTGTTTTCTCGACTGCTGTATTTGTGTGCTTTCTTAATCCGGTTCCTTTTCGTTTTCATGTTTTCTTCTCGTCAATTTAAACTATCTTTTCAAATACTATCGGTTGTTCTCTTTCCATTAAGTGGTTTAACTTTAAAAAAAGAAAAAGAGAAATCAAGAGATCAAATAGTAAATTCTTTGTATTAAATTTTTGCCAAAAGCAACACTTAATTGTTTTTCGAAATAAGCAATATGACTTTTATCTTATTCTTTGCTTCAGTTTCCTTTCGATCCCACATCGTTTCTCTTTCATTGTTGATTAATGTTCAATTTTGTTCACGAAAAGTAGAAAATACGGTATCTTTACAAAGTTTTGAAAATATCGTATGATATCATATTTTCCCTACAATAACTGGTGAGACTGAAAACCTAGTTTATGTTGGTATCATAAAACTACATCCTTTTTATTGTTTTATGCGCAGGTTTTGTTTCTTAATATTCGAATTTTGTGATGTTTCTTTGATATGTGAACGACATCCAGCATAATCAGTGTGGAGAAATTGAATGCATCTTATGTTTATTTAATTTAAATCTTTAGCTCTTTACTTTTTTCATAAACAAATAAATCCGTTTTTATTGTTTGATATTCTCTCATGAAAAAGATCCTATTGAAGGCTATTTTTAGTCTCCTTTTCAGGATATTTGTCACTGATCATATGCGCTACCAATTAGGAAAACTGGATTATATATTATAATGCTTTGAAAGCATTGAGGTAAGTAATCACAATACGTATTTTCTTGCTGAGAATACAACATGCAGCTAGCGTTGTTGTGAAGCAGAGTTTTGCTTCTGATATTGATATATTTGTATACATTAATTGCTGTTGCTTATTAGCATTTTTCTACTATCAACCACTTTTTATGAGGTCGGGTAGTTTTTATTAGAATGAGGAAGTTACTATTAGAGGATTAAATTAATTTGCACCGGCGAATTTCTGCCGTGTTTTTAAATAAGTAGATCATATAATCACGGGAGATAGTGGACTTTGAATACCGGATTATCAGGAACTGAAAATATGGCGTAAAAATTAAAGCGTAAACAAAGGCCATCAGAATATTCTAGACAACTCTTCACTATTTACTAACAACTTATTCTACCGTAAGTTAACAAACTTGTCAAACCGTTAGTATTCCCATTAACGTACGTATGTACACTTTTTTCTTAGATTATTTTATATGAAGTACTTTATATTTTTGCGCGAAAACTTTATAATCGCCATTATATACTAATTTACAGGCTATTTGTTTACACTTACTTATATTTATATGGATTACTTCATATAAAGTAATTTCAGCAGTTCAATCCAGTCAGAAATAAATTGTGACCAATGTGCAGTGATGGGAATATTAGTTACGGTCAATTGTAATTGGGTTTTGCTTGATCGGAAAGAAAAATTGTATATATTTGCAGGTTATGGTAATCAGATTCACATCAAATGTTACCGATCCACCAGTGATGTTATATATGGGCGTTGACAAATTTGAAAATGAAAATTTGATAAGGTGAAGATTTGTTGAAGTAATATTTGGATACGCTGTGCAAATTACTTTTTTTATTTGTGATGGTGTATGCAGATGTTGGGAGGACAGAATAATAGGAGTGACTTTCCTATGCTTGGCTTATATAAAATTAGATAATAAATTTAGAATCTGTGCTATTGCTGGGAAAAAGAAACTGGAAAATGATTGAGCTTTTTAAACAATCAATAAAAATTAAGAATTTGTATATAAAAATGTGTAGTAAAGGAAAGAATTACAGAAATTTACGCAATCACTTTTAGATGGGGTTGGCCGGAGGATATTTGGTTTCATGTTGACAAAGTATCATCCGCA